AAAATCTGAATAAAGTAGGATTTTAGTTAATAACAATGCATCAATATTGGCTCATGAATTTTGACAAATATACCATACTAATATAAGATGTTGTTAATAGGGAAACTGGGTATGAGGTCTATAGGAACTCTGTACTATTTTTCAAATAATTCTGTAAATTTAAACTGTACTAAATTAAAAAGTTTATTAAAAAAAGGTTAGCAGGGTATATAATACCAGCCTCTTCTCCCACTTGTTAAAAAAAAAATCTTTCATGAAAAGGCACATTTATCCTCACACTGTCTGAGACATATGGATTGCCAATATGTTTTTCTTGATTGTAACAGGGAAGGAAAATGTAAGTATATACTTACCCTACTGTTGAATTAGGTGGTTTGGGCATCCTAGAATAAAAACAGGAAATAAATCCTATATTTATATTAAGAACTTTTTAAAGCATACATTCCTATTGGAAATTTGCTTAAGAATAATGATGTATCCCATTTTCAAACTACAGTGTCTTTAATATTGTTGATTGACTTTCTGGAACACTGAATATTGATCAGATAGAGAGATATGATATCCTTATAACTCAGTTCTGTTGATCCATCTGACTTCAGTCCCACTCGCCACTCATTTTGCATTTCCTATTTGCAGTGCAGGTTCAGGACTGACTGCTTCTAATGATAATATGGTTCCGCTTCTTATTGACATTCACCTTCATAATCAGGCAATTGCCAGAGTGCTTGGAGGCAGCCTGACACCATGTATGGGTACAATTACATGACCTAAAGTGACGACCTGAGTGTGGCCAGGTGGACAAGATACATAAGTACTGTGTGTACTTTGTGTGCTTTGTCCTTTTGCCCAGGATTGCTGATCTCTCATGATAGTAAATATTGTCCAGTTGACAGAAAGGCTAGAACAAAACTGAACAAGTTCCTGGAGCCATGTCTTTTCTGACTCAGTTCATTTGAAAGTTGTGTATTTACTAATTACTCTGAGCCCTGCCTGCTAAGAAATAATACTGAAGCCCAGGAACAAAGTCCACACTAGAGAAGGACTGTCACCTGCTTTTACTGGATTCAACACTTAGTTTCAGCCTGTGAGGATATTTCTGAAGTATTTCGGGCATGAAAAATGAATACAGTGTTATCCGTTGATAGCAAAGATCCATAAAATGGAATATACTATTCAATATTTGTATGTTTATTTAGAAAGTGGTACATAAGCTATATAATTTTTTGAGTCTACAGTGTATTATAAATATATAGTTCACATTAATTTTAAGAGGTTTAATATCTTTCTTTATTTGGACTCCAGGTGTGTAGGCTTGGAACTAAAAAAAAAGAAAAGACCCAAAACATGTCTTCCAGTTATATTTGTGGTTGAGTTGGGAAAGGGGGGGCAATGAATATGAAGAATCCAAGGGGTCTTGAGTTGGCTATGAAACATTAAATAGGTTAAATCAGCATCTAAAATTTTTCTCATGTGACAAATTTGGCTATGATATTGACAAGTGTATACCTAAAATGCATTCTGATTCAAAATGGAAAAAACAAATTTAAAGGAAAGCTATTTTAAAAATTAAAAGTTTGAAAGGTTGAATAAAAATTAAAAATGCTCAGACACTAGTTCCTTGACTTGAACCAGTCCATTATTTTACTGCTGCATTCTACATTTACTTTTCGAAGTTTACTGATCCCAAAGGGATAAACAGAGCCTAGCAACCACAAAATTCATGTCTTCTTGCCTCCCTCTTGTGGCTAAACTCCATATTAACTTCCTTCCTATAAACTTTCCTAACGGTTCTAATAGTTAAAGAAGTGATATTTTCATTGTTACTTTAGTATTGTTAGTGTTTTATTTTTATCTGAAAATTAAAAAGTATGCTTTTGTAATATATATACCAAGCTATTTCAAAGAGGAAAAAATAATTTAATATACTAGAAAATAATTCCTCTAAGCAAAGGATAAATTAAAAAGTATTCCTTATCCAAAAAGGAGACTTAGGGAGTAATTTTATTACAAATTATTTGTAGATTGTCATAATTAACCTCTATCCTCATAAGATCCTGATGAAAAATTTTGCTGAGGGCGCTGGGGCATTTCCTATGAACCTTTAAAGAAATTTAACAGATTCTTATTAGATTAACTAGGTCAAAGGCAGAGGAATGGACCCAGATGACTTGTGTGAATTCTTTCAAACATTACTATTCCATATTTTGTATTTTTTTTTCTTGTTAAATTCCACAAACTCTTAGTGGGTTTTGGTTTATTTTATTTCTGTTTCTTTGGTCTTGGCTTCTATTATTAATGATCTCTGTTAAAAAAAAAAAAAAGGAACACTTTTTCTGAAAGATCCCATTTTGGGGCTTTTTTATTTCTCATATAACTCATTTTCACTTAAAAACATTATTTGGTCCAAAATAAGGAAAAGAAACCCCAAACTTACAAAGAATCATTTCCATAGATGCCACTTTTTTTATTCTGCGTCAAATAATAGAATTGTTCAATAGGAAGTTTTCTGAAAAGAAAAGATTAAATTGAACATCTTTTCAAATTAACATAGTGATGATCAGATAGTAAAAGACAAATAGACTAATATACAACCATGTATATATGGAAATTCAGTATATGAAAAAAGGTGGCATTTTAAATCAGTGGAAAAGAATTTACTTTTCAATAAACAATGCAGGAAAAATTCACTAGCCATTTGAAAAAGAGTAGATTTCTATTTCATACTATGCATAAAGATAATTTCAGATTAAAAATCTAAAGAATTGGGAAAAACATACAAATATTAAAAGAAAATATACAAGAATATGTTTTTTTCTTTGTGGTGGGGAAAACTTTTTTTTTTTAAGGGAGAAAGAGGGGAGGTGATGGGGAGAAGGAGAGAGAATGTTAAGCAGGCTGCATGTCCAGGGCAGAGTCCAATGCAGGCTCAATCTCACAACCCTGAGATCATAACCTGAGCTGAAATCAAGAGTCCAGTGCTTAACCGACTGAGCCACCCAGGCGCCCCATGTGGGGAAAACATTTTAAATTAGATTTTTCTTTTAAAATCCAAATCCAAAAGGAATTTGATAACATCAGAAGAAAAACTTTTGAAGATAAGATGGAATAAAAAAGCTCAGATAAAGTTTGGAAGACATTTTTGTAATAAAGATATATAAAGGATTAATATCTAGAACATAATAAGAATCCATAACTAAAAGACAATAAAAATGGGCAAAGAATAAGAACAGAAAAGGGAATGTAAATGACCATACATAAGAAAACAAACATAAGTACTCAACCAGAGAAATGCATTCTGATAACCAAGATAACCTTTATACATATTAGATGGGCAAAAATTATGGTTTGATAATATAACATAGTTGTCCAAGAGTATGAGGGAAATGGATGCTTTTACTTACCACCATGAGAATATAAAGCATTTGGGCTATATTTCTAAAATTGAAAATATTCATATATTGTGACCCATAACTTTCACTAAGGCTTTTCCCTAGAGAAACATTTGTGCATGAACTCAAGGAGGCCTGTACAAGAATATTCATTACATATAGTTAATGCCAAGAAGAGGAAACAATATGAAAATCGCTAAATAGTCTATGATGCATCTATATTGTGGAACACAAAGAAAAATTAAAAAGAATTAAATAGATCTGTGTTGGGGCGCCCGGGTGGCTCAGTTGGTAAAGTGTCTGCCTTTGGCTCAGGTCATGATCCCAGGCTCCTGGTATTGAGCCCCATGTTGGGCTCCCTGCTCAGTAGGAGGCATGCTTGTTCCTCTCTCTCTCTCTGCCCCTCCTCCCTCTGCTTGTACTTTCTCTCTCTCTTGCTCTCTCTCTCAAATGCACAAAATAAAATAAAATAAAACAGATCTGTATTTACAGTCTCTAGATTATAGAGAGAAAAAAAGAACCAAGTTGCCTACTACTATATATCCAGTGATTCTACACATAAACAATATAATACATATATTTTCAATGGGTACATATATAATTATGTAATTGTGTAACAAAATGTGTGAAAGGAGACATTTCCCCTTCCTTCTCACTATACTTCTGTCAGTACATCACCAGTGGACTTACTGAATACCTTCTTCACTGCATGCCATCTTAAAAAATACTACTTTTGACTAAGGAACTCAGTTTACCACCAAAGAAATAAGGCACTGATTGAATTTAAAGGACTCAACTGGTCTTATCCTATTTATAGAATGTAGACCAGCCTAGTGAAGATTCTTTTGTGGCTGAAGGAGTGTGGCACATGCTCTGAACCAGTGACCAATAAATGGTTTCTCCCACAGCCAGAATGGATGGTCTAAAAAATGAAGGGTGAAAGTGGGAGTGGTACCTCTCACTGTTATACTTACTATTACACTTGAGAGAAATTTTACTTCCTTCCTAGCCACCTTGAGTTTTGCTGGTTTTGAGGTCAAAGGAGAAATGCTTCATCGGGAAACACAATGGTCCCACTGAATTGGAAGCTGAACTGATGATGTGGTAATTGGGGCTCCTTATGATTGGGGGAAACAGGCAAGAAGGGATTATACCAAGTAGATTGGGATGATTGATCCTGAATGTCAAGGGTAAGAGGATTGCTGTTATGCAATGATGGCGAAAAGGAGTATTTCTAGAATCTAAAGAATCTTTTAGACACCTCCTGGTATTGCTTCTAGTGGCATAAAGTTAATGGGATACTGGAACAGCCTCCCACAGGCAGAACCACTAATTGCTAGATCTCTCAGGAAGAAAATTGGGGGCACTCCACCAGGTAATGAACTCCTACCAGCTCAGGTGCTGGCTGAGGGCAAGGGAACTTGGATGTATGTATATAATTATATTAATATGTATATAATTATGTTATATATAGTATGCTTTTATATACTATAATATATAATTATAATATGAAAAGATTATAACATATAACATGTTTATTATATTTATATGTATTAACTAGTTTTATTTTTCATTCACCCTTTTCCCTTATTTACTTATTACTCTATATAGGGTGTTGGTGATGGTTTACTTCATTAAGTGCATAGCTGTGGACTATCAGGACAAGATTATGACTGAACTAGAGAGGAGAACATCACCCAGAGATCTTGGACTTGGAGCTGGATGCAAGAACTGATGAGACTCTGAATTTCCCCTTTTGGGGAGGTGAGTGCATTTTCATTTGTATGAAAAAATCTTGCATTTTCTTACACTGGCAGCAGTTCTCAAACTTTGCTACATGTTGGAATTACCAGAGGGATTTTCTTAAAATGCGGATTCTCTCTCAGTCAATCTGGGGTGGAGTCCAAGATTTTGCACTCACCATTTCCTTGATGCTGCTGGTCCATGGGCCCCATGTTGAACAGAAAAGCATATTATTGTTGTGGCTGCTATTATGTAGCATGGCAGCCAGCTGGCTGGCACAGATGGCTAACATCTTTATAACACTCTCTCTACATTTTGTTAGTTTTCCACATTTTTAATATCCCATTTGCCCAGGAAGAATCCAGAAAATCTACTTCCCAGCCTCTTGAGCAACCAGGGTACAAATGTGTGCCCTAAGTTCTGCCACTCAACCATATCTGCACTAGACTTTGATTTGAATGTGAGTAGCCTGAGCACACAGGCTTCTTCCTTTATGAATAAAATAATGTAACCAGGTTGTATCTCAATGTCAGTAGCTCCACTTCCATTTTTTCCATTGTATGGCATATCCTTTTGATTTTCAGAACCAGTTCTTAATTTCTTTTCATTTTCTTTTTTAAAAGATTTTATTTAGTTATTTGAGAGAGAGAGAGAGCACGAGCACGAGAAGGGGGAGGGTCAGAGGCAGAAGCAGGCTCTCCGCTGAGCAGGGAGCCCGATGCGGGACTTGATCCTGGGACTCCAGGATCATGACCTGAGCCGAAGGCAGTCACTTCACCAGCTGAGCCACCCAGGCACCCCTCAGTTATTGATTTCAAGGGACTTTTCTTGTGTATCTCTGAGTATCTATTTCTGTTAGATTTACTTATTATTTGTTGTTTTTCTTGTTAGATGATCTACATTTGGGACATCAGTTTTCCTTATGATAAGTAATTATGCTTGTTCTTAATAGCATAGCTTTTTATTTTTATTGCTTTAATATCCTTATCTTTCCCCTCTGCCTTATCAATTTTAAGTCACATCTATTCTGTTTCTTGCTGCTTCTTTTTGGACTAGATTTGTGAGTTCTTTTGTGTAGTTGTTTTTCTCATTTTTCCCCTTAGCCCTGTGATCTTCCCTTTTATAATGTTCTATCATTTAATCATCTTGTTTTTTTTTTATTAGAATCACATACTTATTTTGTCCTTTAGAGAATCTACTTTTGTTTCCTGGGCTGTGTTTCTTCTCAGACTAGTTTCTTCATGTGTTTTATGTATTAAAAATATATATATATATATATATAAATGTATATATGTAATATATATATGTTATACATATATAACATATATATCATATTTTTTCTTTTTTCTTCCTGGTTTACAAAATTGCCTTACCATATGTTCTCATATTACATGTGTTTAATTGGACAGCTCTGTTTAAACCCAGCTATTTGCTATGATACAGGGTGAGTGAATCCTTGATTCTGTCATCTGAAATCAGTTTGCCTTTCTGTCTGTGCTACAAGCTTGACGACTGAATGTTATTGTCTCCATACGTCTTTAGCCTGATGGGATGGAGGTGGCGGAGAGTAAGTGCTGAGATTGTGTCAGATAGGATACAAGCATCTTGGGTACTACAGTCTAAAATCCTGTTAAATGTCCTCTATAAGGCTCATTCCTTTCCGTTGGGGAAGTAGCCATACCCTTGGGCTTCTGCTTATTCCCTCAAGTCATCACAGTATTCTGGAAGAGTACACATTCTGCACAACTTCCGTCTCTCTTGAGATCTTGTGTTTTAAAATAGAGGCTTCTATTCTTGAGGCTTTTTTCTATTCTAATAGGATTACCTACCCAATCTTTTAATCTTCTCTTCAAATTGGAGAACTATCAGGATTTTGTTGACTCACCTTGTCTCCGTATACATTTGGAATGTAGGGATGGGGTTAGGTATGGTGCCTCTCAGTCAGTAATGTGGCTTCCCTCTGTACCTCCAGCACTTCCAGGGAGGTCTGGAAGTATGTGTGGCTGTGTTTATTTTGGTTGTCACAATGAATGAGACTGGTATTAGGTGAAGGGCCAGAGATGTTAAATATCTTACAGTATATGGGACAAAGAATTGTCCCGCTCCAAATGCCCTCTTGAGAAACATTTAGTTAGAACTGGAATAAACTGCACAGAATTTTCTTTCCTTGGCACATTAAAATGAGTGGCATAAGATGTTCTCCTTGTATTGTTTAGGGGGTGCTGGTAAATTTCCTATTTATTTCACTTTTAAGTAACAGGAGAGGGATATTCTGTGATTTTGCTTCACAAGCATTAACCTTCAAGCATCACTACCACCACTACCACCTCCACCACTACTATCATTACTATAGAGTGCTAGTTACAGTTAGCAGGCATTTCAGAGTATTTAGTTCACAGAGCACTGTATATCTATTTAACAGCTTTTTAACATTTGCCAATATGTTAGAGGAAGATCCATTTCTTTTTTCTTAAACAAAGTAAAAACTTAGCTACTTTAGGGGCTCCTGGCTGGCTCAGTCATTAAGCGTCTGCCTTCGGCTCAGGCCATGATCCCAGGGTCCTGGGATCGAGCCCCGCATCGAGCCCCGCATCAGGCTCCCTGCTCGGCGGGAAGCCTGCTTCTCCCTCTCCCACTCCCCCTGCTTGTGTTCTCTCTCTCACTGTGTCTCTCTCTGTCAAATAAATAAAATCTTTATACAAAACAAAACAAAATTTAGCTATTTTACTAAACTTATAAAAAAGAAGTGTTTATGGGGGTGCCTGGGTGGCTCAGTCCGTTAAGTGTCTGACTCTTGATTTCAGCTCAGGTCTTGATCTCAGGGTTGTGAGATCAAGCCCCACATGGGCTCCGCGCTCAGCACAGAGTTGGCCTGAGATTCTCTCTCTCTCCCTCTGCCCGTTTCTGCTTTCGCACACGCACACTTTCTCTCTCAATAAATAAATAAAATCTTAAAAAAAGAGAAGTGTTTATGGAAGTGAAAACAAAGTGATAAATTTTTTATTACTTTGTAACGTCATTCTTTTAAGTGAATGCATGCTGAATTAGGTGATGACAACTTTGCTTGGAATTTCTGAAACTTGCCTCTATGGTTAAGTAGATACTGTTAAAGTTCCTTTAGAAAAGTTTTACTTAGATATAGTTATGTCGCAAAGCACTGGAAGGAAGAGTGATGTTGGAAGGGGGACGTTGCATTGGAACATGCATGTATAAACGTATGTGATTATAGTTCCATTAGTAAGCCATGTTCTTTTGGCTTTCTTAACCTCAGATGACATACTGTCGGATATCTCACTAGATATTTTCCTAAGCAGTAGGTACTTTCAGTTTACCGAGTCATATGACAGGAGGGTTGGTGAGGCAAAGCAGTGGTCCTGTTCCTGATAAGTGATGCATATATGGCACCATAGCACCCCCTGCAAATCCCCTGCAGGGAGGGTGGTAGGGCGTGATTGGTAGCACAAGCTTTTATCTGGACCACATGAGGCCTGACCCCTCAGAGAGCTGGAGAATATCCTGTTATTTTGAATAAAAGGCCCTTTTTTGGGAGAACGAAAAATACCGTGACAGAAGTTATTCCCTACTAGGAAACAAGAAAAACCTATTCTCTAGTTGTTTGGCAAGGGATGTGCATTGTATCAGAAAACAGGACTGTGTCCTAAATATATTTTTAAGAGATAAAGATGCCAAAATGGTAACATTTGACATAAAAAGATGTGAAGAGAACAGAACGCAGGAACCTGCATTTCTGAGCTGGGGATGATGGGCGTTCTTATTGGAACAAGTACTTCATCTCCTGGTGGCCTGCCCAAGGCTGCATTCAGTGAGGCAGCAAACACAAACCTCTCATTTCAAACTGGATTTCCCTTAAGAAACTCATCTTTGGCTCTCTTTTTACACTCTGGGATTCTGTGAATACAATTCTGATCCTTTTAGAATGTTGTGCATTTTTTTAATACATAAATTTTGAGGACAATACATGTAAACTCCATGAGGAGCTATACCTCTAGTATCTAGAACAAGCTTGCTGTACTCAAATTACTGATAAATGAATAGCTGGAGTAAATGATGAAGCAGATGAAAAGAATTTGCTTGGGCTTTGGACTCAAAGAAACGTGGACTCTAGTCCCTGTTCCACAACCTCATAGTTGTCTGATCCAGGGGAAGGTATTGAATCTTCCAGGTCTCCGTGTATTGTAAAACCAGGATAACAGTAGTTTCTTTACAAAGATATTATAAATCTACCTATATTATATTATAAAGTAAGTTCCATGAGAGTGGGGACTTAAAAAAATATGTTGGATGAATGAATGATCTTGAGGTCCTTGCTATCTGTAATGTGTTGATATTTGCATCTTTCCAATTGGACTGACAGACCTTTTCGTTTGCCCGCTTTTTATTGCTTCACTGAGGCTTCATTAAGGTTGTTGGCTGTCACATGTCATTAATGTGGCTGTTTCTCTTTCTACTTGCAGCTTGTCTTTCCTAATTTATTTTTTTAAACTGCTTTAGCTAGATTGTTATAAACTAGGTAAGCAGGATTATTCGATAAAGCAGGAGTAGGTAGGCTCTGTGTGAAGGTTTGTGCTTTGAGTAAATTTCATAGTTTTTTTTTAAAGTTTCATGTTTTTAGTAAATAATGTGACATTTAATTTGCTACTCAGATTTTTTGCTTTCTCTTCAGTTTTAATGTGTTTTGAATAAAGTTGCTGAAAGAGTGACTTTAAAAGTTATAAATGATTATTGCAATATTTTAATACTTGAAAATGGTGCCCAGTAGATTCTAATGAGTACAGATTGATGAACAAATTAGAAATCAAAAGTTCCTTAAATCAACAACATCTGTACAAATTAGGCCAGCTATTTGCTCAAGAAAAAACATTTTTAATTTAATGTCTCTCAGGAATATTCCCATTTAGTTCTAGATAAAATGTGATTAGCAAGGGAATTAATCAAAATTTCTGACCACAATACTTAAACATCTCTAAGGATAGCAAAGTCATCCATAAACACAGATTTTT